CCAGCTCCGATGCACTGAACACACCTGAACAAAAAGCCTCGGCAGCAGCGGGTCCACAGAGCACCGTCACGTACCCTGGAAGCATTGAAGAAACGTGCAGGATTTACACGCGAGGACACGGTCACGCCTGGTGGCCTGGAGGAGGTTCACCCAGAGAGCACCCCGCTTGCTCTCTGCCTGAAGGGGGCGTTCTGAACACCGCTAGTAATGGAGGACCCTTTGCACAACGCTTGTCCCTCGCTGCTTTACACGTCCAACCATCGCGTTCCATCCTCCCGACAGCCAGGCGCTATTAATACCACACCCGTTTGATGGACGGAGTTAAGGTACAGAGAATCTAGGCACCTCGGCCAAGGTCCCATACGTAGCTGGAAAATTGTCAGACTGGATTCGAACCCAGCACACGCTCTCAGTAATGCGCCGTGTTCTTACAGGAGCGCCTGTTCTTACAGGAGTATAAAAATAATTTACACGTTTAATGCAATTCCAAAATGTTTAGAATCCCAATTTTTAAAACTTCAGACATACTCTGAAGTCCTGCCTGGAAGAAGAATTCTTTTAAAAAGGAGAAACGGGGAAGGAAGATGAGTATACCATGGCATCTCACGCAACGTTACATAGCAAGGTGTTATAAAGCTGCCAGTTAGATCCCTTTGGGACCGGCGCAAAACTAGGCGGAGAGTAAGCAGAGTGGAGACCTGAAGCTACCAGGGGTTTCTATCTTCACACCTGTCCTCGACCTTTCTGGCGGGTTCCCTGTGGCTCCTCTACCCAGAGGACCAGAAGGTGAGCTCTTTCCCAGGCTCCGCCCATGCCACCGTCCAACCCCTCCTCCCTATCCCACTCAAAAATTCTTTAGTCCTCTGTCCCATACGCTCAGGGATCCAGCAGTCACTCTGTCTTGGGTAGCAATGAATGTGAACAAGGACTTTCTGAAGTCTGCCTTAACCTCTAGGAAATAGATGGGGTCGGAGGGTGAACTGCACAGCTCATAGCGAACCAGAGGAAGAGAGGGCAGGCTACCGGGGTGGACACCTGGTTTTCTACTTCGGGTAGCGAGCGCCACATCCCTGGGAGGTATTCAGTTGTAGGAACACGCCCATTTTGTACGTTTGATATTGTGGAGGGGATTCAAGCCGGGTGCCCTCAGCCATCAGGTCATGCTTTCAAGCTCTCCTATTAATCAGTCATCTCCCTGACTCACAGGTCACTTTAGAAATCCTCCATTTGTCGGGGCGCCTGAGTGGCTCCGTCGGTTGAGCGTCCGACTTCAGCTCAGGTCATGATCTCACGGTTCGTGGGTTCGAGCCCCGCGTTGGGCTCTGTGCTGACAGCTCAGAGCCTGGAGCCTGCTTCGGATTCTGTGTCTCCCTCTCCCTCTGCCCCTTCCCTGGGCGCGCGCTCTCTCTCTCTCTCAATAAATAAATAAACATTCATTTAAAAAAGAAAGAAATCCTCCATTTGAGATAGTATGCTGAACGCACATTCGAGATCCCACCAAAATGACAGCAAAGATATGTTAAAAGTGTCCTGCAACTCAACAGGTGGGAAATCAAGAAAGATCACCGTCAAGGGACCAGGACAGCTGAGGTATGTTGAGGAAGGAGAAAAGGAAGGGTCAAGACTGGATGAAGACGGGGGACCGATCACGTACACAAGCTGTCAACTGCCGCCTTAGACTCTAGAAATCACAGGGAAGAGGTGAACACATTGGATCATGCTGCCGGATGCTAAGTAGAGGCCCCGCGGGCGAACTGGGGTCTGTGGGACGCCCGAGACAGATGTGGGGCTGGAGGAAGTAGGCCGTGTTGGCCTGAAACACGGGAGGGAGAAAGTGCTTCTGCAGGGCAGGAAGGGCTCTGAGCAGCTCGGGGGAGGGGCCCTGACGTGTCACAGACACAGGGGTGTGCAGGGAGGGCTTCGTGTGTGTGGGGGGGTATTTGGGAGCGTTCACTTGGGGCTTCAAAGGCGGCATTAGGTTAAAATTCACCTTCCTTTTTTCAAATTTTTTAAATTAAAAAATTTTTTTTTTACTGTTTATTTATTTTTGAGAGAGAGAGAGAGAGAGAGAGAGAGAGGAGAGAGAATCCGAAGCAGGCTCCAGGCTCCTAGCTGTCAGCACAGAGCCCGACACGGGGCTCGAACTCATGAACTGTTGCGATCATGACCTGAGCTGAAGTCAGACGCTCAACCAACTGAGCCACTCAGGTGCCCTGTCCCCCCGCCGCCCCCAACCAAATCACCTTCTTTTGAGCCAGGGGTGGGGTGGGAGGGGCTGGGAGCATAGAGGGGTGGGCCTCAGCATCAATTCTGAGCATCAATCCAGCATCAATCAGTTTATTGCAAAAAGAATTGATAAAGTCAGAAAATTCAGAAGAGTATAAAGATCGCTTGAAATGTTATAATCAAATACACTCTCTGCAACATTTAGGTCTTCCAGGAACCAAATGCTACAAAATGCAATTAAAGAGAACATACTGAGGACAGTAAAATAGAAACAAATATGTAGGAATAATATGACAGAGGATGTGAAAGACCCATGCAGTGACATATTACAATGGTTACAGCATCATTAAAGATGATTAAAATAAAAAAGACGATTAAAATTAATAAGGAGACACTCCAAGTTCATGGATGGGGATTCTCAATAGAACAACAGCGTCTTTCTTCCTAAACTAATTTATGTAATTCCAATCAAATGCCTCCCCATATTTTGGGTGGGACTTCACACAGTGAGTATAAAATTAACATAGAAAAGGTCAGGAGAAGGCTTTTGTGGGTTTCCCCCCTAATATAAGATTTTTTAACAAATGTTTATTTTTGAGAGAGACGGAGGCAGAGCGTGAGCGGGGAGGGGCAGAGAGAGAGGGAGACGCAGAATCCGAAGCAGGCTCCAGGCTCTGAGCTGTCAGCACAGAGCCCGACGCGGGGCTCAAACTCACGGACCGCGAGATCATGACCTGAGCCAAAGTCAGACGCTTACCCGACTGAGGCATCCAGGTGCCCCTCCTGTAATATAAGATTTAGTCTTTAATCCATTTCGAGTGGCTTTTCGCGTATAGTGTAAGATAAGGGTCTAGGTCATTCTTTTGCATGTGGGTATCCCCTTTTCCCATTGCCATTTGTTGAAGGCTTAGCCTTTCCCCATTGTGTATTCTTGGCAAATTGCTGAAGGTCAGCTGACTATATGTGAAGTACAGGCAATACAAACAAAACCGGACAAGAGGGACGACATCAAACTGAAAAGCTTCTGTGCAGCAAATGAAACAGTCAACGGAGGAATAATGCAACCTATGGAAAAGGAGAAAATATTAGCAAACCGTGAATCTGATAAGGGGTTCATCTGCAAAATCCTAAGGGGCTCCTGCCGCTCAGTAGCAAAGACACTAAATAGCCCAATTTGAAAATGGGCCAAGGACTCGAGTAGACTTTTTTCCGAAGAAGACCACAAATGGCCAACAGGTGTATGAAAAGATGCTCACCATCGCTAATCACCAGGGAATTGTAAATCAAAACCGTAAAGCTATGACTTCACACCAATTAGAATGGCTATTCCCGAACAAACAAGAGACACGAGTGTTGGTGAGGAGGTGGAGAACACGGAGCCTTTGTGCACTGTTGGTAGGAAATCCAGATGGCACAGCCATTACAGGAAAGTATGGGGGTTCCTCGAAAAATAAAAAACAGGGGTGCCCGGGTGGCTCAGTCGGTGAAGCGTCTGACTCCAGCTCAGGTCACGATCTCACAGTTCGTGGGTTCGAGCCCTGCGTCGGAGCTCCGTGCTGACAGTGCAGAGCCTGCTTCAGATCCTCTGTCTCCCTCTGCCTCTGCCCCTCCCCTGCTCATGCTCTCTCTCTTTCTCTCTCTCTCTCTCTCTCTCAGAAATAAACATTAAAATAAATAAAAAATAGTACTACTGTATGATTGATGTGGCTTTTCAGTTAATCTACTGATGACTGTAACATCGTTTATAATCATGAAACACTCAGAAGATGACACAAGTTGGGAATGCAAACTGGTGCAGCCACTCTGGAAAACAGTATGGAGGTTCCTCAAAAAAAACTAAAGATAGAACTACCCCCGCGACCCAGCAATTGAACCACTAGGCATTTATCCACGGGATACAGGTGGGCTGTTTCGAAGGGACACGTGCACCCCCATGTTTATAGCAGCACAATCGACAAGAGCCAAAGGATGGAAAGAGCCCAAATGTCCATCGATGGATGAATGGATAAAGATGGGACACACACACACACACACACACACACACACACACACACACAAAATGGAGTATTACTTGGCAATCAAAAAGAATGAAATCCTGCCATTTGCAACTACGTGGATGGAACTGGAGGGTATCATACTAAGTGAAATTAGCCAGAGAAAGACAAAAATCCTGTGACTTCACTCATGAGGACTTAAAGAGACAAAACAGATGAACATAAGGGAAGGGAAACAAAAATCATATAAAAACAGGGAGGGGGACAAAACAGAAGAGACTCTTAAATATAGAGAACAAACTGAGGGTTATTGGAGGGGCTGTGGGGGGGGGGATGGGCTAAATGGGGAAGGGGCACTAAGGAATCTACTCCTGAAATCATTGTTGCACTACATGCTAACTAATTTGGATGTAAAGTTTAAAAAATAAAAAATAAAATTAAAAAATAAATAAAAGAAAAATTTTTTTTAAAAAGAATCAGCAAAAAAAAAAAAAAAAAAAAAAGCCTCCTAGGATTCTGATAAGGATTGCTTTGAATCTATAGATCAATTTGATAAGAATTGACATCTGAGCCATATTAAGTCTTGCATTCCATCATACAGTATATCTCTCCATTTATTTAGGTCTTCTTCAATTTATTGTGGAAATCTTGTGTACTTTTTAGGGTAGAGATCATGCACACTTTTGTCAACTTTATCCCTAATTTACATATGTCCAATTTCCGATCTTTTTGCCAGTATGTAAAAACCCGATCAAATAATTTTGTACGTTGGCTTGTATCTTGCAACCTTGCGAAGTTCATTTGTTAATTTTAGTAGCTTTCTGAAGATTCCACCAGCTCTCTACATAAGCGATCACACAGTCTGTGAATAAAGACAGTTTTACTTTTTTCTCTCCAAAAAAAGAAAAAGATGACACGAGTGGATTATCCACTTACTTATGGTATAGTGCAATGCAGCCATTATATGTGATAGCCCAAATTTCCTACTCAGCATAGTGATAATTATGATACAAAGCAGGTAACAAAACCAGGTAGGGAGTAGAATCCCATTTTTATAAAAACACCACATACACAGGGAGACAGGGAGAGTCAGAGACAAGGCTGAAGAGACAGGTCCCAAGTGTTTACAGGTTGGCGGAAGGGACCATGGAGTGTTTTTCTTTCTTTCTTCCTTCCCCCTTCCCTCCCTCCTTTCTTCCCTTCCTTCCTTCCATTCGTTCTAATGATTTCTTTACTTTGCTAATGTTAAAGACAATAACCAAATAATGTCATGAAAAAGAAATGACGTTTGTGGGTTCAAGCCCCACATTGGGTTCTGTGCTGACAGCTTGGAGCCTGGAGCCTGCTTCATATTCTGTGTCTCCCTCTCTCTCTGCCCTCCCTCACTCATGCTCTCTTTCTCTCTCTCAAAATAAATAAACATTTAAACAAATTTTAAAAATTATCAGTTGTCAGGCATGTGACATTCTTCTGTTCGTGTGTGTGTGCTAAGTCTCTGAGACCAGGTATGTGAATTACACACTCACTCGCAGCACACCTCGATTTGGACCGGCTGCGGTTCAAGGGCATAACAGCCACATGTGTCTGGAAGCTACCGCATCAGACAGGGCAGTTCTAAAAACTTTCCTAGATGATCAGAAGTGTAGACAGAGGGTGAATCAAAACTGCTGGTCCTAGGATTATTTGTAATTGAAAATTAGAAGGACCCAAAGTGATCTAATTATTACAAGGTTCCATGCAAATGTCGGTCTATGAGGCAGGGATTTTTCGTCTGCTCTGTTCATTGCCGTGTTCCCAGCATCCAGAACAATGCTTGGCACACAGCAGGCACCCAATACACGTTTCCGGTTGAATCGGCTCATGTATACACACATATAATACGCGGATACACTTCTCGATGGTGTGATTTGCAGTGACTAAACATCCAACACACGGTATTTGCTGTTCTTTTTATTGTTATTGACGAGAAATTGGACTAGAACTCTCCCACTAGGAAGACAGAATACAGTTAAGGCTCTCTGGTTGTCTCTCAGAGAACATTGTCAGAGATCAGGCTGGGGTAGGGTGGGGCTGCAGGGAACGTCATCTATGATGGGTTGAAAGACCACCGAATGGGGGAAGAGTGGGGGCCGGGAGACCTGGATTCGGGTCTGAAGTCTGACACCCATTCACCGCTGCTTTGGGGGCCGTCTTCTGCTATCTGGATCAAGGGACCCCCCCCCCACCTCCAAAATGAGGGTACTGGTCTGGATGATTCTGGAGCCCTTCCCCCGAAGATGGGCTGGCATTCAGAGGATGGCACACGTCCAGTCATCTTCCTTCTGGGGAATGGATGCTGCCAGGCTCGTGCTGAGGTTCTCAGAGGGTGCAGGACGCCATCCATAATCATGACACTGATATGTCCTGTGTTCACAGGTAAACCAATCGTTTGGATAGTCTTCTTCAGGCTAAAAGGGTAAAGCACGTGATCACATTGCAGAGCTGATCCTTCCCCCTTGGCACTGGGTCTCAGTGAGCATTTACAGTGTCACAGGCCACCCAGATCCCCCTGGAGGACGGACAAACAAGTCCCAACTGCTGGGGAGGCGGGCAGCAGACAGACCCCTGGCCTTCAGGGCCGCCTCGGCTGCAGAAAGCCCCATGTCCAAGGCGATGCCCATTCCTGAGTTGCCCGCATTCAGTGACTGGTCCACGGGGGGTCTAAAGGGCTGACCGCCCCAGACTGCGGCAGGGCAACTCTGAAGGCCACGGAGCCCCAGGACTCCCCCATGGAGGGGCTGGCCGAGACTCACATAGGGGCACACCCCCAGCTGGACTTCTCCCTGCGCCCACACCTGCTTCCTCCCCCTCCTTTCCACACCTGTTGACTCCGATGGTTCTCCTCTAAAACACTCCTTCCCCGGGGAACCCACCTACAATGTCATCAACGTCACCTGCTGTGCGAAAGACTACGGCCCTGGTGCGGGGGGTGGGGCAGAGATCCAAGTTCAGGCCCTTCTGCCTCTTCCCGGGCTGTGTGGCACGCCCACGTCCCTCAGCAGTGCAGAGTCTCCCGTGTGTGGGATGATACACGTGGGGACGCTGCAGAGCACGGCAGGCTGAGCGCTGGCACTGGAAGCCACCGACTTTGGATCTCCGCTCCACCGCGGGAGCTCCCGCGCTAAATGTCCTTGAGCAGGTGACTCTCTGAGCCCCTCTTCTCATAGGTAAGATGGGAGTAGGAAACACGCCTCAAAGGGTGTTGTTTTCATGAAATAATGTAGCCATCCGTTTGGGACAGAACCTGACCCCAGAGCAAATATTCACTAAACGGCGGCTGTTATTGTTTATTATTGTTCGCAGAGGAAGGAGCCCACGGGGTCTGTTGGAAGAGTTGCCTCCAGCCAGGGTAGTGGTAACTAAAGAATGAACTCTGGGGGTGCCTGGGTGGCTCAGTCGGTTAAGTGGCCAACTTCGGCTCAGGTCATGATCTCACGGTCCGTGAGTTTGAGCCCCGCGTCGGGCTCTGTGCTGACAGCTCAGAGCCTGGAGCCTGTTTCGGATTCTGTGTCTCCCTCTCTCTGACCCTCTCCCGTTCATGCTCTGTCTCTCTCTGTCTCAAAAATAAATAAACGTTCAAAAAAAAGAATGAACTCTGGACAAGGGATATGCAAATCCCAGGAGCCCGGCGAAACGGGGCTAAGATGACAGAAAATGGAGCGTATCCTGAAACTATATGACTAGGGGACCCTGGTAGCAAGAGGCCACCTCTTTGGAGAGAACGTTCTCCAGCAGCAAGCACCACACGGTGCGGAGGAGGTGGGGGGGGGGAAGACAGCAGAGGGGAAGCCGCAAATCACCTGCACGTTCCACGAGATCACCGGAGACCCATCCCTGTTGGTAAAGCATGGGTAACCCAGCCAGACTCTGGCCTCTTCTGCCAGCCGCTGCCAGCTGTACCGGTCTTTACCGGCCACATTTCCTGTAGGGTCGGCCGGGTCCAGAATCACAGGCCTGGAGAGTAACAGTGAGAGAGGGACAGGTGAGGAGTTAGGGCTGTGTCTGGGGGATGAGAGCCTCCTGGCCCAGGCTGGGACTCAGGGCGGGAGCGGGGGGGGGGGGG